GGCAGAGCGGAGAGGGCTTTTTTTTGTGTGGGGGGGGGGGGGGGGGGGAAGGCCTCGGGCCACGGAGCTGCCCGGCGGCCGGGGTGTCCCTGCTGCCCCCCGGGCTCCCCGCCGTAGGCCGCCTCCCGTCCTAATCCTGCGCTTTACCCTTTCTAGATGAAGACGGTGACCTGATCGCTTTTTCCACCGACGAGGAGCTGGAGATGGCAATGCCTTACGTGCAGGACGGTGTCTTTCGTGTTTACATCAAAGGTAACGCCGCACAGCTCCAAAGGGCGGTAGCAGGTCTCCGGCTTTGCACTGTGCGCTCGTGGCCAGGCCTCCGAAAATGGGAGAAGCCCTGGCCCTTCCCCTTGTCCTCAAGGGCCTGGTGTAACCTGCAGCCTTCAGGGGTGAGGTTAAATAAAAGGCAGGGTAATATGTCAGAATATGAATCCTCCCTGCTGTGGTGGGGTAAACGGATGACAAGTTTCCTCCTAGCCCTGTCAGCTGGCCCAATGCGAGCCACTGTTGTCATGCTGTCTCCCTGGAAACGCTAGATTAGCACCGGTATCTTTAATATTAATATTCACAACAATGTGTTAGGAAGCCTTAATTCCAGCTTATTTTTCAGTGCATAGTTGCTCCCTGGTCCCTTCTGCAAAGCTTTATCTGCAGTCCATCTAATGAGTCACACAAGCCAGCGCTGTTGTCCCTGCTCTCATCTGTTATGCCTCCTGGCATTCCTTCCTAACTCCCTCTCCAGAAACATTTTGTTCTTGCAGCGCTTCGGAAGGTAGGATGAGAAGCTGAATGGGGTAGGTGCAGTACTAATCTAAAATAAACACACCAGGAGACCATTACGGATAAGGCATGCTCAGTTTGAGGAGCAGGTATCTTTGCGAAACCCCCTCACACTTGGTTTAAGTTCTTACATGCCCGCAGCTTGTGTTTGGCAGCCAGTGTAAAAATAAACTGACCTAGTAAGTCAATACTGCTCTGACAAGGGCTGTCTGTGCTTCCTTCTCCTCTGCCTGATTTCCAGCCTTTAAATAGTAACCTCGTTATTGATGCAAAGTTTCCTTTCCTTTCCTTAACAGAGAAGAAGGATTGCAGGCGGGAACATCGCTCGCAATGCAGCCAGGAGCCTCCCCGTGACATGGTGCACCCCAATGTGATCTGTGATGGCTGTGAAGGACCAGTGGTGGGTGCCAGGTTCAAGTGCACTGTCTGTCCAGACTATGACCTGTGCAGCACCTGTGAGGGTAAAGGCATCCACAAGGAGCACAACATGGTGATGTTTCAAAGTCCACTGCTAAATCCATTTGAGGTGAGCAAAATCTATGGAGGGGAACTAATGAATGGGCTGTTCCTCAAATATAAGTCATAAGTTTCAGTTACTCTGAATCTGGCTGTGTGAACAGAGTCACATGAACATTGCCCTTTACAGTGGCTTCCCCGAGGACGCTGGCTCCGGAAAATGCGGCATGGTGTTCCACCCTTCCCGTGGATGCACTGCTGGGGATACCCTGGCCCTGCAGCTCCATGCCAAAACGCCCAACAAGCCCAAGCCAGTGCTGCAGCCTCCAGTCCACCCACTGCAGAAGGTAAGAGGAGATGCTCTGGTAAACAAAGTGGTGGTGGAGCCAGAGCAGCTGAGGTTCTGCAGCACAGGGTGGCATCTGGGTGGAAAAATAGACATAGGAACTAATCTAGTTTGCTTGAAATATAATTAGCACCTTTCAGCAGAGAGTCGGATTATTTTAAGGCATGCTTGGGCCCATGCAATAGATGAGGATGCAGAGACTGTCTGGAACCAAACCAAGCCAAGCTGTTAGGTCAAGCATGTCCCTACTCTATTCCAGATCTGCCTTTCAGCATGGCTAATGAGCCTTAACAATGCTAATGCCACTGGTTTTCTGTTCCAGAGGTAGCTCAGAGTTAGTTTTTGTACTGCCTTTGTTGTGCAGTGTATGTGAGTGACAGGAAACGAGCACCAAGATCTCATGGGG